GCTACAGCAGTAGTTAACATAACATTTGTAAGTGATATCCATCACAAATCAAATATATCTATTTCTTCTTCAGTTTGGGGAGCGGGAGCCCGGCGGCCGCTCATGTGTGTGTATGCTATCTAAACAATGAGAGGTAAAGCATTCAAATCCTCTTTACTGTAATGAGAATGGAGAAACCTGCTTCAGCTAACTCTGAAAAAACTGGTCGTCTCACACTCAAGTGATGTCTAAGTGTAAAGTGGTTTCCTCTGTGAGGACATGAAGGAAACTTCTCAACTAGAAAATAATTCTGGAATACTGTATCACAAGACAAATCAGAACCAAGGGGCCATATAGAATTCTTCTTTAATATCTGTGTGTAACACACACACACATATATATTTATACACACATACACACATATAACTCTGGACAGAGAATATAAATCAGAAAAGAAATAAATAGAAATTTAATCTTAAGCCTTGATTTCTCCTGGCAAGTAAATGTCTATGTCATTTCCCATATATGACTCCTTCTGTTCCACCTCTGTCTTGAACATGTCAATACCTCTGTCTGCCCACTGAATATCTATCTACATCCTTCTCCAAATCTGATTATTTCCTAATTACTTCAAGAGCTAAGGTCATGGTCACCTTTTTCAAAAGCCATCACTGCTTTCATGTTCTGCATCCAGACTAGAGTCAAACTGATGTTAGCAACTAGTATTAGTGGGTATTAATGGAACACCTTAAAAGCCGATGTATTCAAAATAAGAAAGGCAAAGTTCAAAGGCAGAAAATGTAATAATGGCTACACAAAGCCTCTGGCCCCCTGTGTCAGACATGGAGAACACTTTACTACTCTGGCCAACTCTGTAAAAGGTACCTGAAACTGACAAGGTTTCAGTTTAGACTAAAGAATTCTATTCTCTGCTTTAAACCAACACTTTACAAAGTTTGCCCATTGGTCTATAAATAAGCTTTCCCTAGTTTGCAAGGGAAAAAGTTGTGAAAAATTAGAATCAATGTAATTAGTTCTTTATATGACAATATTTATTAAAACTGAAAGACTGCCCTGTGTTTAAAGATTATGTTCTTCCTACAGTTTGGTGATAATAAA